AATCGATTGACACCATGTGACAATCGACTAACAACGGTAGATTTTCAAAAATCTGACCGTTTTATAGCCATTTGAAGTGCATTAAACACACTTTTTGACTTCCCCAATGGATCTTCAGCCTCCTACACTATATATTGGCGATTTCTATTCATTTTTTACTCACTCAAATCACTTTTTCTCAATATATTCATCATCTTTCATCCTTTTCCTTAATTTCTTGCAATTGTTCTTCACACTTTTGCAAATTTTCTGCAAATTTCTTGTTTTTCTCTGTATCTCTTGTTCAAATGGCAGGCAGACAAAGAAAAATATCCCGCACCGGAAAGAACGTTGCATCCTCCTCGGGTCCTCCACCACCACTGGTGCACAAGTATCTTGACGGGTCGTTCCTTTGGTTCAATGACCGTGCAGAGGCGACTATATTCTCGGAGAAGTTCGAGCACCGGGAAATTCTTCCTCCCCGGTTCTCCACTGCCCGCTTCATTCACGAGTCCATTCCTCAAGAGGCAAGGAACATTCTCTCCCGGGGAAACTTCCTCGACCTCCTCTACATAAAAAAGGATCACTTTCAACCCTTTCTTGTTCTGGCTTTCTACTTGAATTTGTAAAAGGATGATGACAGAGCGTTGATTTCAAACGTTAACGGGGTGGACATCTACTTGAATGAGGAGAACGTTCAAATCATCACTGGGCTTCATCGTGAAGGAGAAGAACTCAGCCTCTACATCGGAGAGGGAGGGGCACGGTTCAACGAAGCTGCACTGTTAGAGGAAGTTGGCATCCAAAACTTCATCCCCACTCCTCAAAAGCTCCGTCCCACAATCACTCCCATGAATCCCGTGTTTCGATTCATTTTTTATGTATTGACACAGATTCTCAAGCCAAGGAAATTCAACCACACCTCTCTCTCCCAAGAGGACACCAAAACACTTTATGCGATGATTCACAACGCCAACATAAATTGATGTAAATGTGTGACGACTCACATGTTTAGCGCTACCTCTGACAACCGGCCGCTTCCCTACGCCCTCCTCGTCATGGCAATACTTGATGAGTACCACATCAAGACTGAGGTTGGGCCGAAGCAAAAAGGGACGAAGCATTGGGAGATTGATGAATCTTCCTTCCACTCGGGAAACAATGAATCTCCGTTCTCGCAGCCTCGTCCACGCCGTCAACCAAGGGCAGCTTCTTCAAACGCTCCATCTCTGTCCGAGCAAATGGCCGCTCTGACCGCCACTCTCTCTCGGATCGACACCAACGTCACACAAACGACCCAAAATGTCAACACATTGAGCCGTGACCTTCACGGATATTTTGACTTTGTCAACTACCCATACGCTCAAATGGTCCCGTACGCTCCTCCCTCAAACTTCGGGGGTGAACCAAGTGGGGCAAATGACGTTGAAGATGTCGATGAGGAAGAAGAGGAGAACGAAGAAGATGAAGAAGAAGAGGATGAAACCGAAGAAGAAGAAGAAGAAGAAGAAGAAGAAAAAGAAGAAGAAGAAGAAGAGGAAGAAGAAGAGGATGACGATGAAGAAGTTGACGAAAGCAAACTCCTCGATGATTCTTCTGCGGAGTTCTAGAGCCTTAGCTCTTTTCTATCTTTCTCTTCTTATATTATGTCATTTTGTTTTTAATTCTTCCGTTGTGTACTCCACTTTTCCCTTATTTAATAAATAAAATCTTTATGGTTTTAAATCTTTTTGTTAATGTCAAAAGGGGGAAGATAAGGGCTATGCATATATTAAGGGTGAATTTTTATTAAGGGGGAATTTCTTCAAAAAGATCAAAACCTCATGCATATCCCCGTCTTGTTTGCCATTATCAAAAAGGGGGAAATTGTTGGAACACACTTTATATAGTGATAAACTAAAGTCGTGTTCATTTCTGTCAAGTTTTGATAATTGCCAAACCGCCGTGGATATGAAGAATTTCGTTGAACAACTCAAGGCATGAAGAAAGACATGAAACAAGACCAAGAGACTCAAAGAAAAGATCTAGAATTGAAGACTTAGTCGGGTCGGTCTTATTGTGATCAAAACCAACAATCAGTTCAAGTCTCGGTTCTCAAAGAGTCAAAATAATTTCACAAAATCATAAAAATGTTTTATGCATCAAAATAAATGTTTTAATAAAGTTTTTTTAATGGTTCAAAATCCCTGGTCCTTGCCCAAACCAAAGCCTTATCGGTCGGCGCTCGGCATTCGGCGTCCGCAATTGGCGTCCAGGATAGTCTTGGAGTGCGGTATCTCCGAGCAAAGGCGTTGAGGCTCGTGTGACTCGAGTTCTCAAGTTGTATTGGTTTTTTGAGCACCTTTAAGCTTAACGGAGTTAGTGTAGCTCGAGAGAGTCTCTCGGGAGGCTGGATTAGCCACACGTTGTGGTGAATCAGGATAAAATTTGGTGTGCTCCTTTCTTACGCTCTTTACTTTATCGTCCTCGCTTTTAAATTTATGCGATTTTGTTTTAAACGCTATTCACCCCCCCTCTACCGTTGGACCTTTATTCTAACATAATGATGCCTAGAGATAGGATAAAATTATTGGAGTTATTGTGACAGAATTACTCACTAGCTAAATTAATTAGTTAATTTAATAATCCAACTAGTTAAAATATATGAAAAATTCCTACTACCTGAAATCAATTCATATTCCCTTTTTGTCAAACAAATCATATCATTATTTTTCCCAACTCATTTTCAATTTCAACCACAAAAACCTTTCAAATTTAGAAGGCTCCCAACACTGATGAAGTGATGAGTAAAATCTTGCCTAACTATATTTTAATAAAAAATTATTTTTACACCAATCCACGTGAATACGACACGGGATTAAATGGAACTCTTTTAGAGTGAAATTTACTACCTCTAAAACTCTTTCTTCAGTATCGCAACTCTACATCCCTCGATGTCTTACTGACATAGTAAACCGGGCGTTGTACACCATCCTCTTCTCGCATAATTATTGTGCTCACTGTGGAGTCTGAAATGGCTAAATACAAAACCAAAGTGTCACCTGACTCCAATTTGGACAACACGGGGGGATTGGCCAGGTATTTCTTCAACTCCTCAAATGCTTAATGGCACTTCTGCGTCCATTCGAGCGTTGCCTTCTTCTTGATTATGGTGAAAAAGGGATGAGCTTTTTCTACGAGTTTGGACAAAAATCTGTTCAGGGCCGCCAACCTCCCAGTCAGCCGCTGCACCTACTTGGCCGCCAACCATGCTGTTACTTCATCCAAGGGAGACAATATTCTCAAGACTGTAATATACTTTTAAAAAGTTGGTTTGTACCACCTCAACTCAAAGCTCGGTCAGTGAGCATTTTTTGTATCCAATAATTCTTAGTGATCATGTAGAAGAGGTAGAGTTTGACGTGCTTCAATGTACAAAATCTCAATAGCACATGTTCCCTGTCATGTCCATGTTTTTTTAAACAAGTGATATTGATGCTAGTTTTAACCATTACTGTGGAGTAAGAATTAATTCGGGTAGAAACTTGCACATTGACTGACTAACGTGCCTAACTAAGTGCTTAATCACTCGAGACAGTTTGTCTTCAAGATTGGTTATTAGCCGACGTCGAATGTCAAAAACTGATTACGACATGGTCCAATAACACTTCATGGAAGCTACAACTACGGAGAGTAGCAGAAACTTCGAAGAACAATTCCATTGTAGTCAAATTTGAAATTTTTGCTTTCTTTATTCGATAAATTGTAATGTATAAAGTACTAACGTGTAAACAACACTTGAGTCTTGAATTGATTAATTTAATAATTTTACTACTGGAGTTCACATTTTAATTTTTTTTTCCAAATACAAATAACTTATAATGTAAAATTAATTTAATTTAATAATAATATACTAATTTGAGTACTAAAATCTGACCATAAATCATTGGGAATCTGACTGAGACCTTACTATCAGACGCTAGATGCCACTCTTTAGGGTAATGGACTGACAGGGATAGTGTCCATGCCTACTCTCAAGTAATGTCCATATCCATAAACAACAATTATCTATGTCTACTTGGTATACACATACTCCACAGCAAACTTTTTCCAAATTATTTTGATCAAAACAAACAACAATGACATTGGATAGTTCTTGGATATTTGTACACCAAAAATTATATTTTCACTTTATACTCCGAAGATATGCACCAATATTTTGTGCTAGTATAGTGTTTGTTTTACAATGACACAACATGTCACTGCAAAGTTTTTATGTTGTACTAACAAATAAAGGTGTATCCTTTTGGAATACAATTTGGGTGGTCTGGGTAGTCTTGGTGTCTAGGGACGTAAATGAATCGAATATTTTGTGTTCGATTCGTGATTCGTATTCGATTTTTTTCAAATTCGAATACGAATACGAATCTGAATAAATATTCGAATCCTTATCGAATACGAATATGAATCAAGGGTATTCGATTCGTGAGTTTGACAAATATATTCGGAATATAAATCTAATTATATATATATATATTTTGGTTCTGGTGAGAATGCAATCTTATGAGAGAAATGAGAATGAATCGGGTGCTATAGATTGTGAGATCTAAGGGTCAAGATTTCATCAAAATTAGATGCACCAAAATGGTGCGAAAATGCATCACGTTGAAATGCATCATAAACCTTCGAAAATGCACTATCTCAAAATCTGAGCGCAGGATGCAATCTGAGCCGCATGATGCATCAAATCCGACGGCTAGATTTTATTCTCATTTCTCTCCACAAGGTGCATTCTCACGAGAACCGGCCCCTATATATATATATATATAATGGTTATAAAATATTTTAAAATTTAAATGAACTCAATAATTTTAAACGAACCGAATATATTTAAACAAATCGAATATTTAAACGAATCGAATATGTTTGATATATTAAACGTACCGAATACGAATCTTAAAAAATATTCGAACCGAATTCGAATATCATTCCATCTTAACGAATATGAATATTTTTCATTAATATTCGGTTCGGTTCGTTTACCACCTATTGGTGTCCATGGTTGTTCTTTTATTTCCGTTTTCTGAAGTGTGAAGAAATCCTTACATGTAGGAAGAGGACAATACCCAATCCCATCCCCAGCAATCACACGCCCCCCCGCTTTCTTTTGCTGCCTACAAACCTTCTCCAAATCCGTCTACGGATCCAAAAATCCAGATGCTGATCCATTCTTAGGTGCCTCAGCCGTAGTTGCTTTCCATTGGGATCTGCGCTTAACCGCAATCTCGAAGCCGCCGTGATTTGACCGGACGCCGGTGGAATGGCGCCCTCCAAAGCTGACGATAGGAGAGGAGGGAGGGGGAGGAAGAGTGAACGAGATGACGATCTAAGGAGGAGTAACAATGGCTGTGGAAATGGGAAGAGGGGAAGAGATAGAAGTGACACGATGAGGAAGGTGTTGTTAGGGTTAGGGTTCTGGGTGCAGGGGTTCAGGTGTTTTCCATGGATGGCTGTCAATTTCTTCCTCAAGGATGGCCTCCGTGTCGACCCATCCACCCTTCAGATCCTTCAAAGCTCTGCTAATCTTCCCATGGTTGCCAAGCCCTTCTATGGTATCCTCTCTGATTCCGTTTACATCTACGGCCAGCACCGCATTCCTTACATTGCTTTCGGAGGTTAGCTCTCACTATTTTTTTTCAGTTGTGAGGATGGTTGTTGATAAATTCACTACAGGTTGCATCCAGAATCTGGTTTTTCGTTTTTTTCTGTTATTGTTCTACATGTTTAATTGTTTTATTGGACAAAAAGCATTTATCAAACACGACTATCTAGAATTGTGTTTTTATTTTCTTAAATTGCATAATTAGGATAAACAAATTGCCTATGAGCGTACTGGATCTTTCTTGGGGCTGACCACGATCCATCCGATATAATACCTGCAATTGTTGGACTAGAGGCTATCGAAGCGCACCTTGATGACCTTTACAAGCTCACACTCTCTTCCTGGAGTTCTTGGTTATTAATGCAACAGATTTTTTTTTTGGCACATACTAAGCTTTTTATGGATTTATGGTTTTTATGCAGCTCTTTTGCAAGCTTTGTCATGGATTGTTCTTGCACTTCTATCATACTCTACTATCTCATTCTCTACCATCACTGTATATCTGCTTCTTGGAAACTTGGGTGCTTCTATAGTTGAGGTTGCCAATGATGCCCTCGTTGCAGAGATAGGAAAACAGTGCAGCCCTTCATCCGGAGGTGAGCTTCCATCTTTTGTCTGGATGGCATCTTCCCTTGGTGGTGTTCTTGGAAATCTTTTAGTTGGGATCACCTTAAACAGACTCTCAACTCAAGCAATGTTCCTCCTGTTTGCTTCTCTGCTCTTACTCCAGTTTCTGGTAACGGTTGTCATTAAAGAGAGGTCTCTGGACCTTCCGAAAAGCATAGCATCTAATAATCAAGGGTTCAAAAAGCAACTCTCAGATCTCATGGTTGCGCTGCGGGAACCAGAGATTTCTTACTCCATACTCTGGTTTGCATCATCTTTTGCAGCAGTTCCTGCACTAACAGGAACCATGTTCTACTATCAAACACAACATTTAAACATTGAAACATCAATACTAGGTTTTTCTAAAGTCTTTGGACAGATCGCGATGCTCTTTTGGGGTATCATCTATAACAAACACCTCAAGTCAGTCTCACCAAGGAAACTAATATCTGCAATTCAGGTGGCCATGGCCGCTCTCATGTTTTCTGACATCTTGTTTGTGAAAGGTTTATATCGGACAATAGGTATCCCAGACTCTTTGTACGTTGTGATTATTTCTGGTGTTTTGGAGATAATGTGTTTTTTCAAGATTCTCCCCTTCAGCATTTTAATGGCACAACTTTGCCCACCGGGGTGCGAAGGGTCTGTGATGGCATTTCTCATGTCTGCTGTGGCACTTGCGCTCATAGTAAGTGGGTATCTTGGGGTTGCCTTAGCTTCATTTGTCATGGTTACTGGGGATGACTTCTCTGGTTTTCCATCTGGTCTAACAGTACAAGCAGCTTCAACGCTTGTTCCGCTTTTTTGGTCTACGTGTGTGCCAGAAGGTATAAAACCGAAAACCAACTGACTGGGCAAAATCTGGCTAGGGGAAGAGGCTTTTTATTCCAAGCTTGACAGATATTCAAATGCTGTTAGAGGGCTTCCACATCATTAGAAATTTCTTATATTAGATAGATGAGAATTGGGCTAGGGATTGTTAAATACGGAGTATTTTTTCATTATGATACTGTCTATAGGTTTCATTTGCATGTATGTGTTTTTGAACGGTTGGTTCATATCTAATGAAGTAATCTGAGCCCTCAGGGCTCAGACAGGGGGTACTCCATCTTTCATATTGCTGTAGTGTTTATAAACACTATGGATCATGCTACAGTCATATAAAGTTTAACACAAAGTCTTACATGTATACTGTATAGACAGTTATTATCTAGCCGCACAGATTGTCATTATTCGCCCGCGAGATGCATGGTGTTAAATTTGGTGTCAAACTCTAGTGTTAAAATACATTTACCAAACACGACAAAGCCAAATCACATTTCTTTTCTTGCATAACTACATTGGTTGTTGGATATAATAAAATATAAAAATGTCAAATCATTGTTTATTTGATATAATAAAATTCTCATAGTAAAGAACATTTTCACTTCAACCGCAACATATATGGGGGCCTGTATGGTGAGAAATTGAGAATGACCATTATCATGAGAAATGAGAATAATTCCTTTTTAGTTTGTCATGATGCATTTTTGCAATGGTAGAAATTCTAGAAAAGTTTAACCTTAACATTTCAAATCCAATGGACTATAAACATTCTTATTTCTTTAATAGAACATTTTCATTTCATCCTATATATATATATCACATTCTCATTTCTCTTTGATAGAACATTCTCATTACAAGTGTAAAAGGAATACAACTGACCAAAAGTGTATCATTCTCAATTCTTGCAATAAGAATCAATTTCATAAGAATCAACCCATATGTAAGAGCATCCGCATCAGGCGGAGAAGAAGAGGGAGGAGATGGAGTTCTCCTGGAGTAGAAGCCGCATCCGAAGGAGGCCTGCACACTTTCCAAGAGAGAAGGAGAAGAGCTTCTCTGCGGAGAAGTAGAAGAAAAAGAGCCAAAAATCCAATAATTGCTTGACATGTGGCAATAACTCCAATTTTTTGTTTTGTTTTCTACTCCAAGGTGCTTCCGTGTAAACTAGAAAAAAAATTTGTAATGAATTTTTTAAATGAACTTGGATACTTAATCTTGAATTTTTTTTTTTTGATCAAAAAAAAAAAAATTGTGGATATCTTTAATTTTATATTATTTCTAAATACTCAATAAATTTTAACCACACTTTTTACAAAATTTTGTATAAATTAAAATTATTATCTTAATTAAATAAAAATAAGTTATATACTACCTCCGTCCAAAGTATTTGTCCACTTTCATTTTTACATACCATCTAATACACTTTTTTAATTCATTTTATCTTTTAATTTGTATATTAAAAAATTATAGAAATTATATATTAATAATCTATATGTTAAGACAAATCAAACAAGATCACACATGACTATATTTAGGCTTACACATTGAGAAAATTTGATGAGTCAAAGTGCTTAGATAAACAGTTCCAAAAGCTAAAACTAAACGAAAGGAGTAATGAAGGAGTTATAGGTTGGGTCCACAAAATTTGATGTGGATGAGAGAAGTAAAAGATAGTCCTCCACTTACTAATCCTTCCAATGTGGGTGCTCTAGCCTCTAAGGGTGAATTCCTTTGAAGATGGACTTTGGTATAAGAAATGAAAATAGTACAATTTTATTTCACCATGTTGCATTTTACTAAGGAGAGTCATTTTCTATTTTTTTTACAATTATTACCAAAATTTATTTAAAAAAATATCACCAAAATTTTCTATTTTTTGTATTTTTCAAGTTTTTAAACCTTGGATCTCACTATCTAAAGCACTACTTGCATTCTTATAAGTTTCATAAGATTTCATTCTTACCGAAATCAAAATCTATCAATGTTTATTATAGGTGAGAGCAATACCTTTCTACGAGAATGGGACATTTTGGGACCACCACAATGCATTTTGCATTTGTAGTAGTGCATCTTCATCGCTAATAGAAAAGTTTGATTTATTTACACAATTACAACTGCAATTTTTTCATTTTTTTAGATAGAATTTTAATAGCCTTAAATTTTAAATCTAATAGATGGTATGCACTCATTTCTTTCACTGCACCATTCTCATTTGAACCTCGTACCACATTTGAGTAAATACCTCATTTGATCCCCCTAACAATATGACCACATTTGACTAACTACTAATATAAAAAAAACCTTATAATGTGTTTCAATATTCATGCATACTCCACAATATGCACGGATAAATAAAACACTAACACTAAAGAAAGTTTCTGTAGATATTGTGTAAAGCTTTAGGAAGTAATAGTGGAATTCATAAAATATTGTTCTCTTCATTTTATGAAGAGAACGAACAATCTAACACCAGTCTATTCAACTCAACTTCATAGATGCGAATGATGCAGCCACATCCATTGCCTCGTCTACATGCGTCAAGTCAGATGCCTGGAAAGGTATGGAGAAAGGTGATACATGAAAAATCACACAAAATGTCTCATTAAAATCTATTTTCATAAAATATTGCAATCAAAGCAATGATGCTAATAATCTGGGGGAAGGGGAAAGCTTCATAGACTTATTTATCCAAGTGTCAACTGACAAGAATCTATACTAATTGCTGAACTCCATTTTGCTGGATACGTATTCTTATTATCACATTCATGTACTTCGTGTTCAACTCTGGAAGAGAAGGAAAGGAAAGAACGGGAAGGAGGATTTAATGTTTACTTCGTTTGGTTTGTTGGATGGGGAGGGTTTTGGTTTGAGGGTATTCAGGGGAAAGGGAGGGGGGAGGAAAATTTTGGCTCCACTCCCCCTCCAATTCTTCTGAGCCAAATGAAAACTTTAATGGCACGCACTGCCCTTGGGTGAGAGGGTATTTGTTAACTATATTTTCAATTTTACACGTATATATAACACAAATAGAAAAGAGAAGAATGGGGAGTTTACAAGAATAGCCCACAAATAAAGAAAGCCATTTGTGATTAAAGAAATCACCTGTCCTTGAGCAAGGCCACCTTTTCCTCCTCCACCTTTACCGCCCAAGGGCTTCAGTGCAACGCTCAGCCACTCTTTGACACTCAATTGCTTGCACTTGTCACTTTTCTCAGGTACCCCAGCACATACTAAAACCTTGTTTGCTGCTTCATCTGTGCTGAAAATCAGAACAGCAATCCCCTGATCGCAGTGGCATCAGAGTATAGAAGGAATAAATGTCAGACATGCAAAACACGTGTTTATTGAGGAGCATTTTTGGCTCACTTGCTATAGTGAAATGGGGAAGGAGTGTAGCAAACCTTCTGCTCCATGACTTCAACAACAGCATCACGAACTGCAGCAGTATCCAGACCCACACCAAGACGCAAGATACAGTACGCATTTCCACCTGAAACAGCTGCTTCTGCCTTTTCTGAAGCAGCTGTAACTGCCTGGCGCAAATTCTCTGCAGCGATCCTCTTCTTCGCTTGTATAACTCGGGTCTAACATGAAGACATAAAGATTTTTGTTTAGTCCTTTGCTCTTTTCTTTTACAATGATTCAATTCCATTCGTTACCAACAATCAAGAAATTCGCCATCCACCCTATTTTGTATCCGGCTCGTGCAACAATGAAAGAGTGAAACATAAAATTTACGCACTTGTATAATTTATTTAGTATTAGTAAATAAGCAGTAAAATTTATATATTCAGACAAACTGCATTTCTTCAATATGTTAAACAAATATTTATAATTAAATAGTCAAGTCAACTCTTGGTTTTTGTAATCACCTCTTGGTTTATGTACCTTTTAGGCCATGTTCTTTTAGATTGGAATTTCAAAATTGGATGTTAGAAGAAACTGGAAGGAGTTGGAAGAAACTGGAAGGAGTTGGAAATAATTTGAAGAGTTGGAAAATGTTGGAAGAATTTAACTATTTAAGTATTAAAAAGTCACTCAATTAAATGGTCATCCAAATAAATATGTAAGAAAATTCTAATTTTGGATAAAAAAAAAGATCATCATTGATTGTTTTTGAGGTGATATGTTACAAATTTGGATATATAATATTATTTTATATTAATCAATAATCATATATGAATACCTTTTTAAGTCGTTGGAAGAAATTAAAAAGAATTGGAAGAAATTGGAAGTTAATTTTTCCAATCCAAAAGAACGGGGCCTTTAGTGTAGTTTGAAAATACATAAATGTTTAACATTACATTAAACATTACAAAAAAATAAATAAATAGCTTCAGTCAAGTTTCCCATATGAATCAAGCATCCACCTAAATAAGCAAAACTAATTTTAAAAGTCATATTAAAAATTGCAAATCAAATCGACGAAGAAAAAAAGAGTTGGTTTGACCACAAAATAGTAGGTAGCTAAACATGCAAAATGAGACGAGGAAATAGCATAAGAAGAAAATACCTGAAGCTTTGAAAGTTTGCGCCTTAGCTCATCTTTCTTGATAGCTGGAATTTGTGCTCTCTCCATTGAAGCATTTAATGCAGTGACTTTCTGCAACAAGGAGAGTGGCATTAGTGACATAGGGAAATGGTGGCAAAGTACATGATCGGGTATCAAGGCAAATCTTTATCAAGTACAAAAAAAATTGCTGTTGCGGAATAGGTAAACAAGCTAAAATCAAAGGACAAATGATCACATAGGCAAACTGCATGATCAGGTATCAAGGCACATCTTCACCAAAAAGTACAAAAAAGAACTTATTGTTGTGGAATAGGTAAACAAGCTAAAATCAAATGACAAATGATCACATAGTAGATACTTTGCAGCACAGAAGGCAAATAAAAAAAGAGATCCTAATCTGGACTTGAACTACTCCCACCACCCCCAATAAAAAGGTTCTTGTTTTTCTTTTTGGGATCCATCCCAAAAATAAAGCTCTAATTCTATTAAAAAAACATTTCTAAATGAAAGGAAGAATTTGCCCTCTGTGCCCTGTTATTACGCATTCCAAGATCCCACTATATTACACCCCTACTCATTCTCTGCACTGGAAACCTAGCCGTTCTCTGCTCGTCTTCTTTGCCTATTATCTGAAACGGTGTCCTTCTCTTTTGATGGAAACGATGTCGACGAATACATATCTGAAATTGCCCATACCCCAGCTCTGCACAAAGTTGCTCACATATGGATCTGAATATCTGATATTGCTCACAGATGGATCTGAAATGGCATTCTTCGCCTATGAATTTGACCTATGGTCTATTCATAATTTCCTTTTCCTGACTCCTCTGAAGATGTTTTTCCCCAAAATCCCCATCCGTGTTGGCACAGTAAAACATATCCATTGTTCCTTAAAGTGAGTTTTCATACTCATCTGAGTCCTACGTGAAGCCGGTTCTTGATGATTAAGAGTACTTGGTCTGTATGGGGTTGACTGTGGCCATCAATCTTAAAACATAATCAGTCCATATAAATGTGATTGAAGTATTAGGGCACATGGTATGGCGTGTTTCTGGAAAATAAGAAGATATGGGTCAACAATTGGAGCAATCTGTATGAGTATTTCATGAGCATTTCTGGAAAATTGTTAAAATTTTAAACATTCCTTTATCTCCGTGCCCAGTCAATCCGGGGACCTTAATCCACGAAAGAGGGAGTAATTGATACTCTTTACTTTATAGTCCAATGCGCTAAAACCCCATATTTAGATCTTAGGGTTAAAGTTATTAGGTTACCTGCCATGATTAGAATGTGTATGTGATAAATAATCATGCAGGTCAGGTGCCTAACATTGATGAGTTTCAATTGGCTAGGTACCTAAAACCCCATATTTAGATCTTAGGGTTAAAGATATTAGGTTACCTGCCATGATTAGAATGTGTATGTGATAAATAATCATGCAGGTCAGGTGCCTAACATTGATGACTTTCAATTGGATCACACAAGTACACAACCACAATTAGATTGTGAAATACTACTCAAACCTCTACATTTTATCTTATAGGCCGTGAGAAATGACGGAAAACAACACTAACCTCTTCAAGTAAGCCATCTTCAGTAGTAGATGCTTCCTCTATTTTCTTAGAAAGGGAGGATGCCAGCTCTATGGCCTCAAAAGCACGATATGTTGTGACAGCAGTAATTCTACGAATTCCTTTTGCAACTCCCTCTTCAGAAAAAAGAGCAAATGCTTTGGCATCACGTGTATTTGCAATGTGCGTCCCTGCAAATCCATATAGATTTTTTTGCTAGAATTCCAATACTCCATGAATGGGGAAGGGGTGCCCGCAAGTAGATTATCAAAGATATATACCACCACAAAGCTCAGCAGATATTGACAGCCAAGTTTCATTTTCTGGATCAGCAAGTAGATCTCCCACACTCCGACCAATAGCAACAATCCGTACAGGGTCTGGATACACCTATTTCCAGACAAGTGTAAAAAATGGAGTAAAGCACAACTTAGAAAGACTAGTAAAGAATATACTCTACCAATTTTCAAATAATGTTTATCAAATTATTGATAGTTTGAAAGTGAAGCTTACTTCCCCAAAGACAGCCCGGAGACCTTTTATACGCTTTGCATCAGTTAACGTTGTCTCCTGAGAAAACACATCCATTTCAGCCTCAATTTGCTCGTTGACAATGGATTCAATTTTCTGCAGCTCTTCAGGTTTCACGGGCTTCCCTGTTCACACAGGAAAGTATTAGTCTTAGTCTATCTTTTTTGCAGAATGTAAGTTGTATATATGAAAATCAACTTACCATGAGAAAAATCATATCTTAATTTTTCAGGAAGAACAATGGAACCCTTCTGGTCAACATGATGTCCAAGAACTTCCTGCATTAATTGAAGAATGTCTTCACTCATTCATTTTGGACCTTGGTTATTGAATACCACCAAAGATTTCATTATACTGTTTTATTATGAGTCAATACCCTCAAAGCAAAATTTAACATGTGCGTGCATGTATGGTTTGGCGCAATGAGTCTACGTCTTTCATAATCAACCTGTTCCATAATCAAAAAAACAAAAAAATATAGTTAAAATACACAAGTGATTATTAGTGTGAAGAGAAGCTATAGGTGCAACAATTGTCACCTTACAAACTACTTTATCACCAACACAGAATTTCGGATTCTCTCCATCACATGAGCCTATATGCAGAATAAACCCACCATAGATTTGAACATTGTGAACTCGAAATGAACCAGCAGGATTTTCAAGTGATCCTGTATCATAAATCTACACAATAGAAAAATGTCAGATGAAAAAAAAATGTAATTTCAAGTGGAAGGCAATACAATAAGAAAAAATTGAATCTTACTATGTTCCAAAAGTAACAAGACTATATGAAATTCAAACAATACCTACCAGACTCTAAATTTTAGTCTTCTTCTACACTAAGTGAAATGAACACAACTAGCTGAATGGCGTTAAAGATTTCTACCTGACCACCTTGCTCAGCATAAAAGCTTGAACTTTCAAGAATTATTGCAACATCATCTCTAGTACCAAAACTTTCCAAAAATTCACTTCCTGTGTAAATAGCTTTAATCTCACTCTCATGATCCTGAGACCATGCATCAAGACAAGAAAATATGGTGACAATTTGAACTAAACAGAAAACAAGAATATATACACCTTGACTACAATATCACCATATTACCTTTTTTATTTACATTCCAAAAACTTCCTGGCTACCCACCCAAATAATACTGCTAGCTGGCAGTACAATGAAGAGCAAATTAAACAAGACAAAAAACGGGATAAAAGTACATACCTGAAACCAAGTGAACTTAAAAACATCATTTGTTGGTAAGATCCCTTTCTTGTGCAATGATGAAGTAGCATCGGCGTCCAAGACAATAGCACCACCATTGCTCTGTCTCCAAAGATTAACAATGGAAAAAAGGGTAAAGGAAAACAGAAAACATGTTAGCAGTGTTTAGTCTTCGAAAAACCAAGATATAAAAATCCAACAAAACCTTATTCTGTGCATTTCTAGATCGCTCTCGGGCCGCATTCATAGAAACATTGAAGCCCTCAATGTCAACCACCAAGCCTTTTTCTTCTGCCATCAACTGAAAATACGCAAATCAAGAAAAAAGTCATCCATTTAGTTGTCCAAAGTACTGCGTCTATAGTAAATGAAAAAGATAAACGAAGCCATTGATCAGCCACCTGAGTTAGATCTAACGGGAAGCCAAATGTGTCCCACAACACGAATGCATCCTGCATCCAATATTGGATCACAGTAAGATGGATAAAAGGCACAAACAGGAGCGCTTATTCTAAATATTTTTAAAAATAAATAAGACTACAAGTCATTTAAGTACAAACATGATAACCAATAAATTAGGCAAAAGCAACACTAAAAACTAGAGTGTATGGGACAAGTGCAAACATTAGGCATTCAAATAATTCAATTAAAATTAAGATACTTACCTGACCACTAAAGAGATTTCCTTGAACTTCTTGAGCCGCCTTCTTGAATTTTTCAATTCCCTAAAATAAAGTATGAGTTAAACAACTAGCAGGTGGTGATACCAACATATAACAGCTAGTCAGTACAGAGCATTTAATGTAAACTATTCCAGCTTGTTTTGTGTTTACAATCATCAGAGAAAAAAGGTATACTTCTGGGGCATCTGAAAATAATCCCGAGTCCTGGGGGCTCAAAACAAAAAGAAACAAAAAGAAAAGCAGGAAGAAGTAGAAGAAGTATTTACTCCAATACACTAATATACATAACCGGGTCTCCCCTATGTCTGAGGAACGAGGATAGATATAGACTACTCTGAATATGAGTCAACAGTAAAATTGTGCAGATAAAATCAAAATCATTAAAGCTCAACACAAGTACATCAATGTATGATATGCATGAAAATAAGGAACATTATAAAGCTATTTTTAAAGAGGCACGGAACAGCACCCAGTTTAAGTATGACATATGGACACTTAAGTACTCCCTCTCTCCCAGTGTGTTTGTCCAAATTGACTTTTTGAAGTCAAACTAGACAATCTTTGACAATCAATTAGATAGATATTACATTGTATATTACTCCCCCCATCCACAATTTTCTTTCCCATTTTGACTTTACACGCTTATTAATAAAGTTAAAAAATGTAAAGGCTTTCCATGTTTGCCATTGATGTTGTGGAATGAAAAGAATAATGTAGATAAAAAGTAGGGGCATAATGGCACATTCATTACAAGTTTTTTGCCAAAATATGAAATGGGAAAGAAATTTGTGGACGGCTCTAAAAGGAAAGTGGGAAATGAATTAATGGGAGGGAGTACTAAAATAAAATGTTTTAAAATACTTTAAAAGATACTCCCTCCATCCCAAAATTAACTTCTCGTTTTCCTTTTCGGGCTGTCCTAAAATTAACTTCACGTTTCCTTAAATGGAAAGTAAAAACACATTAAAAGACACAATTGTCCATCATTCCTATTTTAATATACATCTCTCATCTACCTAAAGCCACACATTACTCTTTCCTCTCAACGGATAAGCCTTCTTGAATTGGGCTTCTAGCAAACTGGGTGACGATATGATGCACATGAGGGGCGCGGCTACTGTGTGACAGTTGATGCTTGAATCTCGGCCATGGATTCAGGCGATGCATGGCATCACAGCTTCTGACTCTTCCGGCGTGGCTGATGCGGCGGTGGACAATTATTGAGCTTGGGTTGTCTTTTTGGCTGTTGTTCTTAGGGATTATAAAGGGTATTTGAATTTATTCATTCATTTTGTTCAATTGGTGAGAAAAATAAAGAACTTTTCTGAACTTCATATCAGAATTTTGTTTTTAGCTATTGGATTCACTGTCGGCTTGGATTGATGAGCTCTGACAACTTCAAACAATTACTGAGCTTCAATGAGAATCGATGAGGTCCAATGAGGTCCCTATGTCTGATCTGAAATCGGGCTCCCACAAAGCAAATGTGCATATCCGATGCCGTTCATCCAAGCTTCAGCGGTGGTCGATGAGCTCTGGTGAGGTATTCATTGTTATTTGAGTATGGCAGCCGGTAAATGAAGCCCAATTATTGGAAAGCAAAAAGGTTAGGCGGAGGGATAAGGAAGGCATTTTGGGAAAGTCAACCCAATTTTAACACTTCCTTAAAAATCACCTCTGGTCAAACCGGGAAGTAAATCTAATTAAATCAATTTTGTATGCAATGCAAATTTTAGTTAATTAATGATCAAATTTTGTGCACTTTGACTGCAAAAAGTCAACCCAGACAAACACAATGGGATGGAGGTAGTAGTTCACTAGCATAATGTTTAGATTTAGGTTATTTCCCTATTTAAAACCTTTCAAAGACAAGTAACTCACATGAAGCAATGTCCTTCCAAAGCTAGCTTCTTCGTCAGCAATTATATCCATTATGTGAGCTTCATGTTGTTTCAGCTCAGGAAAAACATCCCCCATCACTTCAGTCACCACCTTTACCAGCCTGTTTTCAGAAAAGTACCCATTACACAAGATTATAAACCAAATATCAAATATGAAGGTGGGAGCTGTTTGAATGTTTGAGTAATCAGGGAAATGAATGTGCAACAACACTACAAGAGTATTAATATGTAGCTCGGCACATGATCCATCAGATCCAAGTTTGTCATTCGTACCCGCTGAAAAAACCTGGCTGGGCTTTAAGGACTTCAGTACCATAGCGCACCGCTCTACGGAGAATGCGACGTAAGACATACTCACGACCCTCATTGCCTGCAGTGAAGATAGTATTAAAATGAAACCAACTAGGGAAAAAAGACTAGATCAATGCAAATTAAGACAAAAGTCCTCAATAGCAGTACACAAAACCGCATAACAATATTGATTCTTTAATCATTACTGTATATAGCATTACGGATACATTAAGTTTATTTTGAAAGCAACAGATTATTGAAACATCAATCTTGTATCATAAAAAGGCAAGAGACGAACCAAAACAAAACAAGTCCACTGCTCAAATCAATGAAGATAGGTACAGCCCATACATAACAACGAAGATGTAAAACAAACTACTCCTTTTGTTCTCAAATAATTGTTTCTTTATACCTTTAAACCCACACTAATGAAACAATAAAATTTTCTCAAACCAAGATAAATACGTTGTATATTATAATATGACCAGATTACTGCTCAATACTATGGATAATTTAACAATGGAAAAGTAGGAAAATGAGCAGCTAGTGCTCTTTTAACTTTTAGAATCACACTTATGTGAAAACACATCTTTCTATAAAGCGACACTTATTATAGGGCTGAAAAGTAGGTTTCTTCACTTCTTGCTTGTTAAACCAACCTGCTGGAGGGTGGAGGTATGCGTATAGATCAACAAAATGTTACAAAATGAAATTGAACAATTTCAACACACAGTCCACCCACGTAGGAGGGCCACCTGCGCCCTACCTGGACAAGAACCATCAGCAATAGCAAAGGAAAGAGTTCTAATGTGATCTGCAACAACCCTATAAGCCATGTCAATTCTGTCAACGTCATCAGTGCCAACTTTGCCTGTGTATGGTCGAGCACCAGTTATCTGCAAAAGGAGTGAGAAATATATTTAGAAATTTGTACTCTCTTTTTCCTTTATAATAATTAGACATGGATTTGGTACACTTAGTGAGAGTGTGCACTTGTTGTGAAAGCTTTCCTTTTATGCCCTCACATGCTTTTTGAGGTCGGAAAAGCAAGTAATACATAGCGCATTCACTACATTGTCATTTCACAAAAAAGTTAAACAAATAAAAAAAGTTCATTTTGAGATATCAAAAAAAGGAAGAGTTGGAGTCATTTTGGGACAAATGGAACATTATATTCGCTTGACATAAATAAAGAATTAAAGAGTTCACTATTTGCTTTTGCATGCTAATTAATAGTGTGTGTTTGTTGTGTAGCCTCTTCACCCTTACACATCTTTTAAGGTGGGACAAGTGTTGGCTTCGCTTCGGGCATTTGTGATTAGCATTTTGAATAATTGCGTAATGATGCAGATTAAATTTTAAAATGTTGAGGTTGAAAGCTACTATTGGAGAGCATTTTGAAAATGCTGAAGCTAAATGCTAAAGTTAATGCCAAATGAAGCCATTATGTTCTCCATTCATAAGAAAAGGTCAAACATTAAACGATGAAGTTCATTTTGAGCTTTTGACTTCACGATACATCCAAGAAACGGGAGAGTGAGGTTTTTTTATGGGACATGAGTATTAATTACGAAAAATGGAGTTTTGTATATTCATGTATGTAATACATGCTTAGTATATCACTAAATTTTTGGATTTTCCAATAACAGTAGGATTCGAAATTCAACACTTGCCATCCAATTGGATCTTACAAGCACCAAGTTTGTTACAAATATAGTTGACTCTAGGGCCACATATAGTAACCATGTCGACAAATGGGTTTGACACGTTTCTTAACAATCTGACAATTTATATTCTCACATTAAATAAGCCGATGAGATCACCAAAGTAACTATAAACATAAACATACATTACAAATCATTTGCTTTTTGTGGGTAAAGGTATTTCAATAAAAGATGAGAAGCTAAAAAAAATCAATAGAGAATAAGTATATGATATATTACAAAAAACCATAAAGAACCAAATTTTAAAAACTTTTTGTAGAACATAAATGATGAAATCTTTTGATCATTCTACTTAAAAAGCCATATATCACAAAAGTAGACAAAGGTGGATGCACTTGAAGCAAAGGTGGTATAGTATATAAAAGTATGATATGATGATAATCACAGCCTTCTATAGAATTGTATCTTAAATGGTTATGTTATAACTGGCATAATAAGATGTAACATCTTCTTAGAGCTTTAACTTCACAATATATGCATTACCCATCCTAGTTTCAAGCGTGTAATTCTATTAAAAGCCACGTTGCATTTCAAAAAATAATTTATTTACCTTTTGTATAGCATCAAATATCGGCAGAAAAACATCAGTATCATAATTGCTCATCTTGTTTTGGAGTATCGAAGTTAGTCTTTCAAAACCCATTCCAGTGTCAACATGTTTAGCAGGAAGAAGTTTCAGCGAGCCGTCGCTTTCTCGGTTGAACTGTGGACACATTTGTTGGAAAAATTAGTTGCAACTTCCAGAAGCTCAATTCATGGAACCTTTTTATCAAAAATATCATGCAAGTTTAAGGGACTGGTACCTGAATAAACACAAGGTTCCATATCTCAATAACAGTTGGATCATCATTATTAACCAATGATGCCACATCACGATTCCCTATTCTGTCAAAATGAATTTCTGTGCAGGGTCCGCAAGGTCCGGTGTCTCCCATCTCCCAAAAGTTGTCCTACTCAAAGAAAAAGGGTGGAAGAATATTGATTTTATTCAGTTCAATTTGCAAACATATAACGCCCAATAAGGATATTAAACTTTTACTAGAATGTATAAAAATATTTCTCAAACACGTAAGCTTTTGCAAACTCTTAGTCCTTTTGCTCAGTGAATACTCCCTTAACTTTACAGAAATTAAATCACCTCCATTCAAATCTTTATGAATGATACCACTTAGTATTATTTATTTTTTCTATGGCCTGCCTCTTATCCTCCAAATATTTGTATTCCACTTCTCTAACAGAAGAGAATGAGCATTTGGCATCAATGGGTATCAAAGGTTAAGATCCAATGTGCTTAATAGAGTAATTGTGTGCACATTCAATTTATTGATAATCAAAGTGAAGAAAACATTGATTAGAGGCGGATGTCATAATATAAATACAGAAATAATGTAAGTGGCACTTCATAAGTTTCAAAATATTTGAAAAAGAGAAAAAAGACATACTTTGCAACCAAATGGCAAAACACGTTCAGGAGGAAGGAACTTAAGCCATATATCTCTTGCTTCGGTATCAGCTGGAAGGCCACTTTTCTCATCACCCCCGAAATAAGTAGCATATATTCTAACAGCAGGTAGCTTATAAACCTGCAGATCAATCACTAAATAAGGAAACACTATAAAATATAAACAAGTCTCTCTTTTTAAGTTTAGGAATAGAGAGTTACAGTAAAATACATTTGCATACAGCCAAAACCAAAAAACGCAGCAAAGATGAAATGTGATAAAGATTGTATGCACACAATTAAGTGCACAAATCAACTTGCCATTGTGAGAAGTTCCCAAGCCAATGGAATTGCCAGTGCTTTAAAATAATCGCCAAATGACCAGTTTCCAAGCATCTCAAAGAAAGTGTGGTGGTAAGTGTCCTTGCCAACATCATCAAGGTCATTGTGCTTTCCACCAGCTCTAATACATTTTTGTGTGTTACAAGCACGCTTGAGTTTGCCCAATTCGGTGTTTGGATCCGCTGTTCCTAAGAAGATTGGCTTAAACTGATTCATCCCTGCAATTTCAAGGAACATTTTAAGGACTTTAAAATACTCTTCAGCTTAGTATTAAAAGAATTGAGTATTATTGTGCTTGAGCAAAGCTAATGCGAATTTTACAACAAAAAAAGTAAAGAAACATGAAGAATTCTTTTGCTTAGTATTCAAGTAAACTGCTGAGCTGCATATCTTTCTGCAACAAAGATAATAGTGCTACTTAAATGAAATAAACTTTAAAGAATAGGGAACATTCATTGGCATATAATAGAAATAAAATGGATAACTTTTGTGCATCATGGATGTTAGTGCAAAGAAGGAGCAAATATACACTGCAAGTAAACAGATAATTATTCAAAAAGCTTTGAGCTGAGTAAAATATTGGCGGGATGTTCAATAAAGGACACATTGGCAAGAATATGCAGCTGTGAGTTAGAAAGAGAACCAGCATTAGCAAATAGGAGTGTAGGATCATTGTGAGGAACAACGGGGCTGGACTTGACAATCGTGTGATCCTTGCTTTGGTAGAAATCGAGGAAAGTTTGCCGGACCTTCCTGGCCGTCCACTCCGGCTCCTCCTGCGGCTGAGAGCCCATAGGTTGGATAGAGGTCGAAGCAGAGGGAGGAAAATGGCGTCTCCGGATAAGACAACCTAGTGTTGGCAAAGCTTCGTATTTAGCGTAGTGGAGAGGGAACGACGGCTGCGGCGCTCCGATGAATCTGGTGAAATCTAGGGTTCTGCCAGCCGGTAAAGCCAAAGCGAAGCGAAGGAAACTATGGCTTCCTGTGGCGTAAACCCTCATCTATCCATCAGCCTTCTTTCCATAATTCATTTATATTGGAAAAAGTATTAGTAGTTCATTTTAAATTTTGAATTAGGCTTTTTTTTCCCTCAAAACTACTTAATTTTTTACTTACACCTTCTGTCCATAAATAAATTTTTCATTCACTATTCACAATGTTAAACTTTATTTACTTTGTTGGTCTATTTTCGTCACTCATTTGATAAAATAATATAGTCATACCACATCTAGTTTTGTAGATTTTTTGATATTGTTTTTTACAGTGTAATTTTTATTTTTAAATTTTACACTATTTTTTATATAAAATGATTTGAAAATAAATCAAACATCGTAACGCGCAACGGGAAGTTTACTTGTGAACGAAGGGAGTATAAGTCAATAGATGACGTGTTTTTCGATGTTGATTTGAAAGGAAAAATTATCTGAAATAATCTCACCTTTCCACGTTTTTTCAAATATAATCTCACTTTTCACTGTCACCGGAAATAATCTCACATTTCTGCATGTGTGCGAGTTTTGGGTCACCGTTAAAAAGCTAACTGTCGTTTAAAGGGGAAATATAATGGAGCATTATATTATCGAAAAATAATTCACTGTACCGCTCGAGAAAGAAATTGCAATACAAAAAAGTTGCAGTGATTAAAAAATTAATTAGTGCCGTTTCGGAAAAAATTGTGCTATTTTCACAGCTTCTGAATTATTATTTTGGGGAAAACATCTTTATATTTATATATAAAATTTAGGAGTCGTGCTTCCAGAATTATGACATTTGGCACGCTAACTAGACAATTTTTTAACACCTCATCATCCATGTCAGCAAGAGTAATGAGTGGAACTTTCCTGATTAAAGCTCTTAATATACATAATTATTTTATTATTTCAGAAATAAAATTATATGCTAAATGTTAAATAAGAGAGGAAAAGTTTAGCGAAAAATGAATATATTTGTATGATTTTTTGTAAGGATAACATTCTTCGAACATATTTATGATATTATCTATAAAATAATGAGAAATGTCATGTGCAGTTTCGTATAATTATTTTGACTAATATAGAAAATATCTAAGCCAATAAGGAAAAGGCCATATGCATTTACAAATATTTTAATTAACATAAATATCTCACAAAATTAAATTTATTTTTATTTAAATTTGTAAAACTACTAACCATTTTCCACTTTTTTTTAATAAAAAATAAGCATTTATATAATGATTAGGACACATGCTTGGTTACTACTACCCCAAAGCTTCTATTTTTGATAAACTATCATATATAAAATTAAAAAAAGTATATTTATAACACATGCTAAAAAGAAGTATGAACAAAAATGTTGTAATGTTTCATAAAACAAATATGAGCTTTTCTTTGGTACCTTTGAAAATGAGAGGGCATCCATACCCCTCCATTAATTGAGTGACATTTGTAATTCCAATACCACTTAATGCTCCGTACTACTTAAGCTTAATTAGCAAGTCCCCTTTAATTTTTTAAAATTGTAAGATGGCCTTCATCTCAATGCAAACTTAATCACATACACTTTAACTTCACTTATTATAATATTAACTGTAACGAAGTAATATTTCATTTAATTACTTCTTATTATTTTACTTTTCATAAATAAGTTATTTCATTCAAATATCATTTTATTAATCATTATTCAATTACTTTTCGTTATTTGAATTTTTATAGATAATTATTAATACAATAAATTCCAAAAATGGCCTTAAATATAAATGATTTTTCATATTTAGTCATCCGTTCTAAATTATTACATTCGTAGTATTTAATTTTTAAAAATTATATCATAATTAGTCCCTTAAACCAAATATGACCAAATATTTTTTTCGTGTGCATATAGTCTACAAAACACTCATTATAGAATAGTTTTTAAAAATTGAAAATAACGCATGTACATTTTTAACTTCCAGTGTTTTCCAGTTCCTTCAAGTTTCTTCAAACTATTCTCATTCCTTCAAACTATTTCTATTCCCCAACTAATTACTCTAAAAATGAAATATTTTTAATATAATAATAATAATTATTACTATTACAACTATTATGTTCATAACTATAGTTTATAAATTATTCTATTCTGTCATCTCACTATTTTTACGATTCATATTCATTATTACTTTTTATTCAACTTTTTAATATGAATAATACAATTTTTTGTATATTAATTTACATGATAAAGTGGGAAAACATCAATATTTTAAACTATATTAAAAGATTATTGATAAAATAGATACATAGAAAAAAATAAATAGAAAAAAGGAAAACAATTAGCAAAAAATGCCGGGAAACAAAAAAGGAGCGGAGAAAAAAGACCTCTCACCTTTCCCTCTATTACTCAATTTTTTCTCATTTTATTTATTTCAAAAGTTTAATTTTGTTTTTCATATTTCAATTTTTTATAAAAACTTTTGAAAGTCACAATTGTTTAGAGAAAAAGACTAAAATAGGAATAAAACATAAACAATGTATAAAAATAAGAGTGTTATGTCTTTATTTCAAAAATAGAAGTTACAATGATGAGAGCATGGGCAATGGCAAGTAATGAGTGAAATGCCAAACGCTGACGTGGAGTATTTTAACCAATAAAAAACAAGCTAGTCAACGTGTGGCAAATGAGTGGAGTGTCAAACTTTACAATGGCAAGTCATAGTTTTTATTATCTTTTTATATTTTTTGGCATATTTTAATTATTAAAAATTATTATACTTATTTTATATATCATAAAAATATTACTACTTACTCAAAAAAATTAACAATTTTTTTTTCTTAAAAAAGAAAAGAAAAAAAATTAAAAAAAAAATAAAATGGGGCCAAGAATGCCACGCTTGTGACTTGCAAAGAGAGGTGTCATGCTCCTTCCACGCATGGAACATTGTGTTTTATGATGATGTGGCAGTGAGGCATGAGCAAGGCATGAGGCACTCCACGCCATTGCCCATGCTCTGAAAGGAAAAAAAATTGGTAACATTACGTGACATTTCTGATATTTAAAACAAAATCTTGTAATATATAAGTATAATTACAAATATATTATTTTATGAAAAATATTGCATAAATAAATTGAGGTTCAACGTAACCACAATAACTTTTTAAAATTTAACATTTTGATATTTATGCTGATGTTTAGTATTTCTTCCGTCCCATAAAGATGTTGGCCCTGTTTGGCAGTTAGCTGTTGGCTGTTCATGTTGGCTGGTTTGAATGGCTGATTGAGTTAGCTTATTTGACCGGCTGTTTCTGTTAGCTGTTAAATTTTAAGTGTTTGGCAACGTTAGCTGTTTATTGTTAGCTGTTTATAAGTGAAATTACATAAAAGGACATCCCTCCATTCATGTTAGCATGCAATTTTAAATTTTTTAATTTTGATAAAATACGCAGAGAAGCATAATTCCCCACCATGGTTGATGTTTTGTTTTTGGTAAAACAATTGCAGTCAAAATATTTTGGATGGTTCTACAACAATTAGATGTAGAAAACAAAATTGTAGAGAAGCATAATCGCATCACAATTGCAGCAATAAAACAACAAAGAAGCATAATTGCAGTAAAAAAACAAAATCGAAAGGAAAAAAACAGAATAGCACATGTAAAAACATTATGAAAATATACATACCTGGTGTCGTGAGGAAAATGGAAGAACGCAGAGAGAACCCCAAAGAGAATTCCAGAGAAAATCATAGAGAGAACAATGTCTCTAAGTGAGAATCGCAAATGGCGAACCGAAAACAAAAAGTTTGCCAACTGCTGTACGAAATGCTCCTACGGTTGGCTTTTCATTTTTTGGCGGTTCGGTTTCAAATGCCAAATCCAAATGCCATTACCCAAACAATTAATTTAGTGGTTTGACTAGTCCAATCAGCCATTTATGGTCAAAGATGCCAAATGCTGGCTGAACCACCATTTACCAAACAGGGCCGTTTCCCTTTTGACTTTTAGAAAATTTAAGAGAGGGATATTTTTGTGTTGATTTTCCAAAAATACCATTGATGTGATATGTAAAAGTAGGATGTGATACGTATATTATTACTAAAAAGGTATGATGTGATAGATAAGTTAAAAATTAGTATGTGTAAAAGTAGTTTTTTAATTAAAAAAAGGAGTTTGTGGAACAAATAAAAAAGAAAATGAAGAGTTTTTGGGATGGAAGAACTACTGTTTAGTGCAAATTTTACAAAATGATATCATTTGCTAGGGATCTGTTTCATTTCGAAAGATCTTTAAGGGAAGTGTATTTCATAGTTGACTTTCCAATTTTTTCATTAGATTTCATTGGTAAAAGTAAGATGTGATGTAAATATTTATAGTGAAACATCATTTTTATTATGAAATTACTTCAAGTTTATTATTAATTTATTCACATATATTGATGATGATGATAATGATAGTAAAAATGATGATGATGATGATGATGATGTGTGTGTGTGTGTATATATATATATATATATATATATCATCACATCATCATTCGCAACAATAATAATATGTGAGACTTGAGAATGAAAATGGGTTATGGGAGAATGAGTACGCCCCTTTCATTACCACTATCATCATTCGCAACAATAATAATATGGATGCTGTGTTTCATTATTATCACAGTCTCCTCCTCTTCTTCTTCTTCATCATCACCTGTCAGCCTTGGCTATGAATGGGTTGCAACTGCGCATCGTAATGAACACACCAATAGCTGGCGTGCCCCATGCTTTCACGAGAACACTGCCTTGTTTACTTATGATCCCATTATACACAAGGCCTTTGTTGATATCACGCCTCATTATGGAAGTTGTTGGACTTGTCGAGATGATTACCAGATAAGATTTAGAAACAACATATTGGCTACGGGCAGTATGTATTTTGGTGGAGTAGCAAATCATTTCCCTTTTCGCGTCGGTCGCGACGATGATATTGAAGGCATGTTGAGTGAAGGAGTGGATATTTACGTGGATAAGAATCCATCCACAGCTTGTGGTGGTGTTTCCAAGGACGCGATATAAAGGATCCATTCATTCTGCAATAATTAATGGATTTTATTATTATTATTACTATTATTAATGAAGAAAGTGTGCTGAGTGATGTTGAATGAATAAGCTAGCATGCAATATCTTCGTCCATTTCACTTGGAAACTATGGACCAATTATATATGTTTGTGCCTCATGTATTACTCCATCACTTTACTAAAATTATCCCTCTTTCGTTTAAATATATATATATATATATATATATATATATATATATATATATATATATCATCACACACACACACACACACACACACACACATATATATATATATAGGGGCCGGTTCCCGTGAGAATGCACCTTGTGGAGAGAAATGAGAATAAAATCTAGCCGTCGGATCTGATGCATCGTGCAACTTAGATTGCATCCTGCGCTCAGATTTTGAGATAGTGCATTTTCGAAGGTTTATGATGCATTTCAACGTGATGCATTTTCGCACCATTTTGGTGCATCTAATTTTGATGAAATCTTGACCCTTAGATCTCACAATCTAAAGCACCAGATTCATTCTCATTTCTTTCCTAAGATTGCATTCTCACCAGAACCAATATATATATATATATATATATATATATATATATATATATATATATATATATATATAGGATGAATTCTCTCTCTAAATTTCCGGCCACCGGCAAGTCACCGGAAAACCTTAGTTCTATCCATTCCCTACCACGGCGTACACTTTTCTCCGAGCTCTTCCATGGGGAACCTGGAGATTTCCCGGGCACAGTATGTGGTTTCTATAAAAACTCCCCCTCAATATCCTTCACGGCGGAGGAGGAAAGGAAGCTGGCCGGGAAATTCTCACAGACACTGGTAGGAAGATGCAGTAGCCGAGTCCACCTATCCGAGGTTGAAGATTTCTTAATCAAGGGCAGATTCAAGGAATTCAAATTATGAAGGCTTCAATCCAATGAGCTCCTCTTCATCTTTAAACATGAAGAAGACTACCTTCGCTGGTTTTCAAGAAGGAGGTGGAAAATTAAAGGATGTATCATCACTATTTGCAAGTGGACGCCGGAGCATGAACCCTCAGCAGACTCACCTCTCTTCCCTCTTTGGTTTGAGTTGAATAACTTCCCCATTCACCTCAATGACCACAAAGCAATCTTCTCAATAGCTTCTGCTCTTGGGAAACCAATCAAGCTGGACTCCAACTCGGTCATTGGAGTTAAACCCGACGAGATTAGGGTCTGCGTTGAGAGAGACCTGTCCATCCCCTTTCCTTCTCATATTCATCTCAGGCTTGGAACTAAAGATCTCTGGTTACCCTGCAGATTTGAAAACCCTCCCCTTTACTGCCCAATATGTCACAGGTTTGGACACAACCTTCAATCCTGCCGGAAAAAAACGCCGGAGAACCTCCCTGTCATTGCTCCGACCAGGGAGGTGGGTCATATGGGAGCGTCTGGATTTCAGAATAATCAGCATGATTGGAAAATGGTGCCTAGCAAACGACACAACAAGTCTGGCGAAAGAGTAATGGGGGGTCCCTCATTAAACCAATATGCAGTGCATGGGGCTTTTAGATACAAACCAATACACCAACAACAACAGGACAAAAGCAACAAGAGTAAAGGACCAGAGGGCATATCCAAGTTTTCAAACACTCACGTCCAAAAGGGTGAGCCCTCAACCAACCATACGCCAAAACAGGTTCACTAGGAAGACCTGATGCCTATGGTGGAAGATGTACCTGAAGAGGATACCAATTGCCCCCCACCCATCACAAGTAAGTCCTTTCCCTCCAAGCCTACTCTTCAGTCCCACCAGTCAGAATCTCTTCTTGACCTTTCTTTCCTCCATGTTCCCAAACCCCAACCTTGCATGGATATTATCCCTTTTAACCCCTTCCAGGAAGACTCTTACCCACTGGGAGTTTTTCTACCAACAAATGATGAACCACCCAGGCCAGGTAGCAAAGATGACTGCTGGATTAATGATCAACTTCAACCAACTTGGGAAGCCAAATCAGACAGCAGCTCCATTCTGGAGGAATCCATTCCTTTTGTTTGCCACTCTGATGGAGGGGATAATGATAAACCTTTCACCACATCACCCCCAATTCCCTTCCATTTGGATGTTCGAAGATGTTCCAAACAATCCATATCGTTTCCTAAACACCGCAAACCCAGAAAAGATATTCCACCATCCTCGGTGATGACTCGAAGCAAAACTTCTAAAGATGTACCCCCACCCAAGGTTCTTTTATGAAACTCCTTTTCTGGAATGTCTGTGGAGCTGCATCCTCTCTCAACAGACTAATTTCCCTAAGGAGAGCACATGATTTAGACTACTTATGCATTTTGGAACCTATGGTTAACCCTTCCCAGCTTGAATCCTTCCGTATTAAACTCAACTTCTCACATAGTCTTGGATCCCAAAATAATAAGAAATGGATCTTCTGGAACGAGTCATGCCTTAAACTCATCTCCTTCTCAGATTTCCCACAAGTAACCAGTTGCCTTTTCACCCTTCAAATGGACAACTCTCCCATTTTGATTTCTGGGGTTTATGGTGCTCACACGATCTTGGCTAGGAAGGAGCTCTGGGAGGAACTTTTTACAATTTGTCCCTCAAACAAACGCTGGATAGTTGGTGGGGATTTTAATGCCATTACCTCACCACATGAGTCAAAAGGAACCTGCCCTCCAAACCAACTTAGTATGGAGGACTTCAATTCATGCATCCTTCACTGCAAACTCATCAATCTGGATCCCATTGGTAGTACCTTCACATGGTCAGGTGTACGCTCCCAAGGCAGGACCTGGCGTAGACTAGACAGAGTAATGATTCACCTGGACCTTCTCGCCTTCTTTCAAGATGTGGAGCTTCATCACCTTGCCAAAGCCAACTCTGATCACAAACCCATTCTCCTGCACTGTAATGACCAGATTCCCAATACTCCCAAGCCTTTCAGATTTCTAAACACCTGGACCCTTCATGAGAACTTCCTCCATACTGTCAAGCTTTCTTGGGAAAATTCCCCTACCACT